GTCTTGAAGCAGAGCATTTGCCAAGAGGTATATCCCACCTATCGACCTCTCGTGCCCTTCTACCTGTTGCGCCCCATTTTCCATTGTGAGTAGGTCTTCGTGCAACTGGTATTTGTCTGCTAAGGCCAGATCCATCATCCACTGCACGTTTGGCATCCCCCACGAGTCCTCTTCGATGAAAGGCTTAAGGACTAGGTCTGGCCGTCGTACATGTCCTGGAGGCGAGAGCCACACAGGTTGCCCAGGAGTAACGTAGTTACCCACGACCATCGACCAGGAGTTGATGTGAAGTCTCACATCATCCTTAGTGTCCAGAAACCCGTCGACTGGCGGAGTATCCTCGATCACTCCTTGGTTACCCTTGTCCCAGTCAACTCGACTCAGCCCATCTGCCCTATTCTTATTCCCAGGAATCCGTTCCAACTCGAAATCGAACATCCAGATGTACATTAGCCACCTGGCGATAGTTGGATCCGATGGAGCGAAGTTCTTGAGAGAACCGGCTAGAGCAGTTAGGTCCACCCTCAATACGAACCTACTGCCGAAGAGGTAGTTTTTAAAGATCCTTTAGCAATGGAGAACCGCCAAGGTTTCGCGCTTAAACTGAGAGTAATTTCTCTCAGTTGTGTTAAGCGTGCGACTTTCAAACCTTAGTGGTCGCTCCTTTCCGTTAAGGTCTTGCTGAATCAACACACCTCCTAACGCAGTTGACCCTGCATCAGTCTCTACAATAAAAGGTCTGGTCATTACCGCTGAGTGGTCTGGTACTCCCAGTACTAGACCCCCTTCTTCGAATTCCTTCTTTAGGCCCTTTATTACCAACTCATGCTTATCTCCCCACTCCCAGTCTTGTCCTTGGCGCACAAGCTTTCGTAATTGTTTAGTCTTTGCCGCAAACCCTTTTATGAAGATCCTCCAGAACCCACATGTTCCGAGGAAACTTCTTACCTCCGTAATAGTCTCGAATGGGGTTGGCCATTCGAGAATCTTATTGGTTTTCTTAGCATCTGGTCGACGACCCTTCTCGTCGCACACAAACCCCAAGATAGTGGCCCCGCTCATGCAGTGCTTTGACTTTGACCCAATTGTAGTAAGGTTGTGCTCCTTTAGCAAGTCTAGGACCCTGCACAAATCTTGCACATGGTTCCAGAAAAAACGTCTAACCCTGGCATCACCTCCTGCTCATTTTTCTCCTTAGGGCCCTTTACGGCCAGATCGTCAATGTAAGGCTGAGTAATGTGAGGGCTTACTGGCTGCATTGCCCTCACCATGTGCCGTTGGACCATGGCAACCGCATTTGTCTACCCCTGTGGTGCGACATTCATATGAATTAACCCTCGAGGGGTATGCATCGCCGTCATCGGTCTATCAGAGGGGTAAACAGGAAACTGGTCGTAACCAGAATATAAGTCTATGAGAGATATGATGGCTCTTCATGCGCATGCCTCTGAAAGCGCATCTGCGTTAGGGAGACCACCTGCATCTCTCACAGTTATAGCATTCAGGCGCTGCAAATCCTGTACCCACCTCAAGGTCCCGTTTGGTTTGACGAAACAAAACCAAGGGGATGCATATGGTCCACTCGAGTAGTCTGATACATGCGTACGAATTTTTCCATCAAGGTAGCTAACTACCTTTTCTTCATCAGCAGGATTAGGATASCGCGCACCCCGCAAGTTCCATGGCTCGTGGGGAACGGTATGTATCCTAATCATCGGGATTCTATCCACGTCCAAACGGTCTCATTCATCATCATTGAAGGCATATGCAGTATGTCTTCCTCTTATGGTCTCTACCATAAGCTTCTCCTCTTGCGCTGTAAGGAAGCCGGACTCCCCTATAATCAGCGTTTTTTCTGTCTCAGGAGTGATACGACATGGCCCATTATGTGCGTCCTCTCGCATCTGCCGTATCAACTCTCGTTTCCGCTCGTAATAAATTTTTTGTTCCTCAGCGACGAGTACGGGAACAGGGCGGCACTTCTGATCTACCCTCTTGTACCGCCTTTGTGAACCCTGCTTGAGCTTACCCCTAAAAAAGGCCGAGTTGCAGTTTGGGGCTGAGCTCCTGCGGTCCCACCTACCCTCCCAGGCACTCGATACACCTTCACCTCTCCTCTCCATCACCTTTTCCCTAAGGGCCTCTACTGCCACAGGGTCTGCCATTCCGTAGGTGGATACTATGTCCATAACATCCCCTATGTTTGCCAGGCTGAGTGTCAAAGCCTCTGACGGATCATCTCCTTCAGACTCTCCACCTTCCATTCTCATCCTTTCTTCCTCTGACTCTTCGATAGTAAAAGAGTCGGGGTTGGGTCGATTCCTTATACTTCGTGGTCCTGTGTTCTTACATGTAATTACCTCATAATTTCCACACATACGGTCGCAAAGTGCCAAGAACATGGTCCCATCATGTTTGTTAATGATGAGAGTCTCAGTCCTACTTAGGAATGATCGGCCCAGCAGAATAGGGTGATCAAGATCTGGCATTACAAAGAAGCAACTCCTTACTTTTACCCTGCCGATCTCGACAACCACGCTTGATGCAGTCCCTATAAATACAGACCTGCTATTTGCCCCCATGAGGACCCTATTGTCGGAGCGATCGATCTCCATCCCCAGACGAATCGCATGTTCCTCTTTGATGAGGTTCATTTCCGCCCCCGTGTCTATCATTGCGGTGCACGGCTTACCCTTTACCATCATTTTTATGCACCCGCACGCCACGGACTTCCAGTCCATCTTCGTGCCTGTCTCAGCCCACTCACCTTCCTTGGGGATAATGGTCCCCAAGCGCACACTTGCTACTAATCTTCTGGACAATCGAGCCTTCAGCTCGTCCCTCAATTTTGGAGCGGAGGCGAGGATTTTTTTTAAGTTCATTAGGTCGTTATGGCCTTCAAGGAGTCAATCGACCATTCCTTCCACGTCGAACCCCTCCTCCATTCTGACCTTATACTTTCTCTTCTTTCCCTCCTGCTTTTTATCAGCGCTCGCTTTAGCGCCCCTCTTTTTGGCTCTCTCTTCAGCCTTCTTGTCCTCTTCCTTCCTCAACTTTTCATCCTCGTCCTCCTCATCCTCTGGAATCTCTACCGTCTCTTTCTCGCCACTGGGTCCCGGGTTGTCCTGAGTGGGCTGGCTTGAGTCGGGCGCTCCCTTCGATCTAGTGCGTGCCGCCAAAGCTGCCCTTCCTGCTCTTGACGGCGGCCTGAAGGTCATCCCAGACCTAGGAGTTGGCGCCGTGACAATCACTCCGGGCAGGTTTCCCGACCCGCTTTGTGCCCCTGGGCCTGAATCGATAAGGTACATCAATGATAATTTTCCTTTCCATCTGTTGACCTCCTCACAAAGAGTGGTCAGCTTATCCTGGTACCTCCTGATTTTTGCCAGCAGGTCCTCCATTCTCTCCATCGTATCTCTTGCCCTGCCGTGGCCACCATCTTTCTCGTCGTCGTCGGATTCAACCACTTAGGCTCCTCCTTTATGGTGCCGGCCCTCAATCCCTATTGAACCTCTTCACCTTCGCTTATCTCCTCTATCCTTATGCCCTGACGGTCTTCTACTTCTTGCCAAATACAGAAAGCGGTCGGAGGAGCTGTTGGAGTTGGGACACTAGCACGGCGCAGAGCTTCTTCCCTTATCCCCCCTGGGATTCTCGGGTCTGTGTACTCACCGTACATGTCAAAAAAATCACCATCATAGCATGAACTTATCAGGGTTTCATCACTCTTTCGGACCTGACAGAACTTAATTGTGTGGCTCTTCTGGCCACAATGCCAACAGATGGCATTTCTCCAATCCACCCTTCCTCTTCCATATCCTCCACCACCTTGCTGGTCACTCTGACTCCCCGCACCGTTCCACCCGTCATTTCCTCCTCTCTGGGAGTTACTGTTCGTGTTTCCTCTCCCATATCCCCCGCGGTCACCATTTCCTCGCCCTCGGCCCCATCCTTGATTCTGTCCTCTTCCACCACCTTGATTCCCTTCTGATCCTTGTGGGGCCGACTGTTGAGGTTGGTTTGGCGGTGGGTTCGAGTGACTCACCTGTTGAGACTGGGGTCCCGGCCATCCACAGGAAGCCGTACTCATTGGCGCTCCGGCACATGATCCATGCGGCCCGCCCGTTGGCCATGGTGCATATGAACAGTGCCCATGCCAATGACTGGGAGGTCCACAGCCTCGCCATTACCCACAGGGTGCTGGTGCGGCTTGACTGGACGACTCAGGGGGTGGCGCCGCTATAGCTTGCGGGGCTTGACCTTTTCCTGAGCCTTGCCCCCCTTGAGTCGTGTTCCTTGCCTTCCTTTGAGCCTTTGTCAACTTTTGTGGTTCAGGCTCCTCTTCTTCTTCCTCCTCCTCTTCTAGCACTACCACCTTCTTTCCTTTCCCTTGGGCTTGTGGCGCTGCCATAGTCTTTTTTTTTGCCTCCTTCTCTGCATCGTGTTGGGCCACAGCATCTTCTATCATTTGTTTGAAGTCGCGCCCATCACTAGTGATAGTATCCAAAGTCTTCCTTTTCTTCCTAGCCTGTCTCATCTGAAAGATGTCTACCTGTTCCAATTCTCCCTCTAGCACGCCTTCTTTTATGGCACCCCAAGTCAGTTTCTTTCCTGGCGCAGCTTTCTTGGTAAGCGACGAGGCTTCCCAGTTCTTGAAGTGCCCCAGGAAAGTGGCACATTGTTCTTCTTCTGCCAGCCCTGAGACTTTCTTTGCCATCTTCTCAAATGCTGTGGCAAAGGCTCCTACCGTGGAGAACTCGTCCCGTCTCAACATTTCCAGGTCTTCTTTTGTGAGCAGGTCGTCCCCTAACTTGAAACGCCTCTGCATCTCTCCTTTAAACCTTGCCCACTCACCGTTTGCGCCTGCCGCTACTTTCATTACCTAAGGTCTAAGCTCCCACCATACGTACCTAGGCATCAACTTGAATTTGTCTGTCTCTGATGCCTCGCAAGTGACTTGTTCCAACAGCTCAAGCCACTCGGACACCCTATCCCCATTGAAGTGGAAGATGTTAACCTTGGGCACCTGAAGCCGTGCCATCTCTCTCTTTTTCCAAAGCCTTGACGAAGTCCTCGGGTGTAGCACCCGCGCCCCGCTCGATTTCATCGGAGTCCGCCATCTTTGTCCTTTCTCAAAACCTGTTGCGAAAAAAAAACAATTTCGACAAACAACCTGCCGTCAAACCTCTAAATTCTCTAGTTCCGTTATTCGATCGAACATACTTTTAATAACTAAGGTAGTCTATCCGGTCCTTATATCGTAATTCCGTCTCTATTATTTGAAACGAATACACACAAGGCACACTCTCAACCTTATTCGCAAAAAAATAAATTTTGTTAGGCCACCGAAGATAGCACAATACTCATATCATCATCAAACTTCTTTATCGAGGGTTGTCGTTTTGCCTGAATCATCACCCTGCTTTTAACCTGGGTTCGTTCACTGTGGACCCCGGTAGGCAGCCGAGATCCCCGGCAACGGCGCCACCTGTCGAGCGCATCGGTCCCACTAGGTGACCCTCCCGGCCGCGTCACGCAGGATTTGGCAGGACTTCCGTCGCGGAGAGCGAGGTGCAGCTCCGGCCGAGTGCGCCAGCCGTACCTCTCGCGAGTCCCTGCGACAAGACAGAGCCACGCGAGGCACCGCTTTACCTCCACCTGCGGGAGTTGGCACCATCCCTTAGGTGGGTGTATCCCCGCTGAGCTACTGAACCACATGCGGAAGTTTTTCGTATGCAATTGCAGAGGTGGCCCAGCCGAGGGCGTTTCGCTGTAACACAGGGGGTTACGCGCGGTTGAACGCCCGAAAATCGAACCCGCACGCGAATCGACGTACTGGGGGGCTGAGGTCCCAAACGTGACTCGACGTCGGTCGACTAGGACGCATCACACACACCACGCGTTACACCATAACACTCACATCTACCCACACATAAAACATGGAAAAACACAAAATAAACACAACATCACAACACTCCTAGTCTCTTCAGTACCCGACCCATAACTTCATGCTGCGAGAATCAGGTAGGCATCGCGCGCTGAACTTTTGTATAAGAGTCATGCGCGCGCATGACCTCCTCATATCGACCAGCCATGCGGGCATTCGCAAGCATTTGCGTTGATGGGGTACTRTGTGGTACKCGTAGCSTCGCGACCCTYGATAATTTCGAGGGTCGCGTTCGACACTCAAGTGTCGGCTGACAGGCGCTTTGAGGGGTAATCTTTCGACGCCAGACAACCGCCATGTGCGGTTGAAGACCACACCCTCTTCTGCACCCTGTGCAGAGGGGTTGAGTAGACAGCTGCTCGGTTGTCGTGGTAGCCAAGATCAAGGGGTTTGACTTTGACGGCTACCACGGACTACAACGTCCAACCAAGAAAACTTAAAAGAGGAAACAACTGCAGATAGAAAGGGAGGATCGCCCTATTTCATCTCTCTGTCTAGCTCATAGTCTGATAACAGTCTCAAGTGGGAGGTGTAGGCCGACCCGTGAGATGCGTGCGGATGGTGCCCAAAGCTGGACCCATAGGCAACCCGTTGTTCGAGGCGTTGGAGGCTCGTACGCGAGTTCCTATACATCGACTGGGATTGATATTTCGCCCACGTGCCGTTTCGCGCTATCGAAACTCGGGTCAACTAGCCATAACGCGCCTTTGCCCTTTTTCGCTTGATCCATAACTTTCAGGTGTGGAAATCGGTAAGTGTCGCGCGGGCGGGTTAACATAAGGCCGCGTGACCACAGGACTTACGCATATCGACCAACAATGCGGATTTGCGTAAGCAATCATGATGTCGGCGCACCATGTAGTGCCCATACCCAAGTGGCCTCGTTTAAGCCATGGGGTCGCTTTCCATGCTCAATGTCAGCTGAAGCGCCCGCTAAAGGGGGTAAACCTTTAGCGAGCGCAAAAACCGGCCTGGGGGCCTTACCGTATTCAGCACCCTTAGGTGTCCCAAAGGGTGCGAGGTAAGATGGTCCCTAGGGTAGGAAGGGATTCGGAGCGGTGGTGAGTTGTCTGGCGCATCACCAGCGACATGCTAATCCTTCCGCCCGGAACTTTATCGTTCCACCAAAGCAAATAGAACAAGGAAAGAGAAAAGGGGCGCTTGACGCTAGCAGAAGAAGACATGAATGCCCTGCCGGACCGAGTTGCTGGGGGTCAGTCCCTCCTTTTCGCGGCGCTTATATTTCCCTAAGGATGTAAGTAGGTCAGAACTGTGTGAAGGGTAATCTCTTCAGCCCCGAACCTAGGACCTGAGACTAACGTTCGACCATATAAAATCGAAGAGTAAAAGAGAGCCGTAAGCGTGCAGTCGCATATCCTTGTGAGGGTTATCCGAGCGTACGTCTACTTTGACTATTAAAAAAAARATCAGGATAGGAAAAGACCAATCGCAATCAAACAAAGAGTTTGTGTGGTAGTTCACTCTCACGACAATTGTGTGATTTACCCATCTCAATCCAATTCACAACCAATCACCAAACTTTATCGAGGTTTCTCCACACATACCTGCGATCACACACATAATTCAAACGACATCACACACACTAAAGGGGTCAACTTTTCAGCCTTTTGCAGCTCACACCCTGCCTTACGCACACAAGCCCAACCTTTTCCCCACCTTTCCATAACAAAGATACTCAGTCTTTAAAGAAATGGCCATTTATAAAGAATCTGGGTGAAAACCCAAGAAAACAATAAACCAGCAAGGGCCAAGGCCTTAGGTTGAGAAGCAGAAGTAGTAGGAAAGTTGAGTCGTAAACCGACGAATCGGCAACCGACCTGTTATTAGTGATAACAGAAGAGTAATCCTCAACAGGATTAGGATGGCSAATTCAAGCCTTCAACCGAATCACAGAGACCTGCATCACAGTACAGGCCAAAAAGAACCACTACTACGTTAACCCCACATGGAGAGTACTTTCTAGCTCGTATCCTAGCACCTTTATTAATCTCATGCTCAACTTCCCTCACTAGTGCCAAGTCACTGAGAAATTCGGCAGCATCTCCCGTACTCGGGGTGAATTTGCCAAGTTTCTCCTAGCAGAAATTTATTCTAACTCCTCGAATTCTACGAAATTTCGGTAGCGCTTCCCGTAGGAAAAGTCCATTTTCAGAATTTTTGAAAGCCCAAAAATGATCAACTCTTTCAGATTTGTAGAAATTTCGGCAGCGCTTCCCGTACGAAAAGGAGGCTGCCAAGATTTATACAAAGCTGAAAATAGAAAGACAAAGCAAAACTATACTTGGGACTAACTTCTGACGCTTACTTGGAAGGTAGAATCAGCGATAGTCTGCACGACCTCTAAATGAGAGCGTGAGCTAGCACATATCCTAATTCCTAGCAGAGTCAAGTCCTATCTTATCCCAAGCTTCTCTCCCATCATCCATCTTATCTGCCTATGGCTCCAGCACTCAGCGAGCAGCTAAAACAACTAATCCTATCAAAAGATACCCCAGAGTGAGAGCCCGCAAACACACACAAACAATCACAACGAACATCTATCACCAACCCTCAGGTATCTTTCAACCTCATAGTTCGTTAAAAAAACCTCGTTATTCCTTTTTACAACCCCCTTTCCTATGGCATACGGTCAGACAATGCCCTAACCCTAAGGTATGCCTGACCTGCCTAGGTACACAAGTAAGGCACGCACATTTGGACTGCCCTAACCCTAGGGTGTGCCCAACATAACATGAACTATACACATAAGGCATATGCCTAACTTACAACAAGCGCATAGGACTGGGTTGCCCTAACCCTAGGGTGTGCCCAATCTGGTTTAAACAAAGTTACATACGACATCATTCTAGACCATCCCTACCCAGGGGTAGGTCTAGCTTGCCTGAACATAAGTACAAACGATAAAAAGTTGAACCGCCCTAACCCTAAGGTACGTCCAACCCACAGCACATCAACGACAAAGGCATATTACTAGGCCGCCCTAACCCTAGGGTACGCCTAGTTAGCCATACAGTTTAAGTTATAAGTGTTTTCTCCTCCTTGCCATATCCTCTTTCCCGTCACCTCCACGCACTCTCTTCATCTCCTAACTTTAATCCAACTAACGTTTTACCAAAAGTGAACCCAGATTCAGGGTCGCCATAGTCAACAACCCTGAAATAGACTCTTCTCTTCGGCCCCATTTCGTCAAGTAACGGCCTATATCTCATCTCTTCACCCCCTTTTTCCCATTCTTCTTGTTCTTCTATTTTGAATGCACCTTGCTCATACCCACGTCTAGATCCATTTGCCCTCCTTGGTTGTTTAGTAAGGCCAGCTCAATCCCCATCTCCGTTCTCCCTCTAGGCCGGCCAACGCAGTCTCCTTTGTCCCCCTCGAAGTGGGAATCTGCCTTATCTCCCTCGAAGTGGGAATCTGCCTTATCTCCCTTTATACCTGCTCTCCCTCGACACCTCGTTCTTCTCTTTCCCTTCTTCTTCCCCGTAGCCCATTACTCCATGAGCCTCTCCCACCAGCCAAAGTACGCCCAGATGATAGCGCATGGTCCAACAGTCTTGAGCACCTTAATGGAAGTGAAATCCTGATCGCCGGACCTCGCTGTCCTATATAGCCTAGAATGGCATATTTGCATAGCTTACTCGTGCCACACTCAAGGAATGAATCTGGCCAAATATAGGCACTAGGTCCATTCAGCCCAAGAAAAACTGTAGTGCACCTCCTCAAAAGGAGAAGAGGGGTTGAGAAAAGAAATACAAATAAAATAAAAATAAAAATTGGGCTTGGTGAAATGCCTAAACGATGGGGTCGTGGCCCACCTACGTGCCTTCTCCGGATCGGACTCTGATCTATATTTCAACAGTCTGTGAATATGCCAACCGAGCTAGGCTTGTTGGTACTTGC